ATGATTAATAAAAATGGAATCTACTAACCCCAGACGGTCTAAACATTCCCAACCGAAATTTCTAAAAAATCAATCTTGGAACCCCTTATAAAGAAACTACAAAATAGTCTTAACCCTTCCGATATCAGCGATATACAACTTCTTCAACTAAACGATAAATACGGCGGGCATGAATGGCTCGAGGCACTTCCAAGCCTAAGCCTTGATAATCTACCAATGACTAAATGAGGGATTTAGACTTGGATGCTCGCTTACACATTCACACACTTGCCACCTTTGCAACCTACCCGTTTAACCAAACGCAAGGCCTAAACTGCTCCCGCAGCCAAGGTCGCCACCTCCGGCATAAAGCTATAAATAAATTCATCCATAACGCTCTTAATAAAACTAAAATACCTAACATCCTAGAACCAACAAACCTCTCTTTACAAGATAGTCTCAGACCTGACGGTTTAACCTGCACCCCATGGTCCAATGGGAAATCCCTAATTTGTGACGCAACCTGCGTCTCTTCCTTTCCCTCATCAATTAATTCAAAAATAAAAAAATTAATAAATACTCAATACTAAATAACTTTATTTTTCAACCCATAGTCATTTCAACTAATGGCAATTTCTCACAATCCACATATATTTTTTTTTAAATTTTAGCACGTAAAATTTTTAACATTACAAACGAAAAACGCGAATCAATTTTTCTTAAACAAAAACTCCAATTAGAAATTTTTAAACATAATTATACCTGTTTTTAGGAACATTTTTACTATAAGCTCTTTTTAGAGCCATCGATATTTTTAAAATATACATTCACTTTTAATATATATTATTAATATGATTTGTTGTAACACATTTTCATAATGTGAAAAAACATTCTTATATAGTTAAATAACTTTCCATAATTTTTGTAAAAAACATTTTTGATATAAATTAAAATTTATTAAAAAAATTTTGATAAAATTTTTTTTTAAATCTTTTAAAAGTTTTTAAACTTTAATGAAGACTAACATCAAAGTTATGAATCAAATAGTTTTTTTTGGACACAAGTTTAAGTGGAAAAATGAGAATTCAAAAAAAAAAATTTATTAATAAAGTTCTTAAACTTTAATGAAGACTAACGTCAAAATTATGAATCGAATATAGTTTTTTTATGTTTTGGACATAAGTTTATAAGTGGAAAAATAAGAATTTTAAAAGATATTATATAAAAAAAAATTTCTAAGATTTTTACAATATCTTTTTAAATTTAAAGAATTATTCCAATATTTTAATTTTACTTTTAGCTATCCAAAAGAATGGAAATCAGGATAAGAAATTTGAATAATTTCTTAAATAAACATGAGTGAAAACTCGAATTTAAGGTTTTCAGATAATTCTTATTTGTTTAGAATATTTTATGATCAATTCGAAACATCAAATAAAAAAAAACATTTATTATTTATTTATTCTTTGCAGAGACCTGCAGAGGAACCATTTGCACGGCCCGGCCCGGTTTTAAATTTTTGAGGCCCGGCCCGGATATTTTTTAAAAAAATTATTTACGGCCCGGCCCGGATATTTTTTTTAAAAAAAATTTCAGGCCCGGCTTGGAATTTTTAAAATTATATTCGACCTGGTATACACAAAAATTCACCTATGAGGTATTTAACCATATTTTTCAGCGAGTATTATCGCTTATTATTTAAAAAATGCATGTAAAAAGCTAATATTTTGAGAATATTATATTGAATTTATAAAAATTATAAAACTGTTATTTATAAAAATGGATATTTTGAGCATATACTATATTTTATATTGCATTTATAAAAATAAATTAATATTCATAAAAATGGTAATAATATTTTGAGCATATACTATATTTTATATTGCATTTAAAAATAATAAAACTAATATTTAATTTATAAAAATGGAAAATATTTTGAGAATATAATATATTGTATTTAATTTACTATTTAATTTATAAAATAAAAATAAATCGCTATTTAAAAAAATGCATGTATAATAAATAGTATTTTGGAAATATAATCTAATTGCACAATATTAATATAATTTATTTTATAATATAAATTTTTAACAAAAGAAGATAATTGTATTATATAATATTGTAAAAAAAAATAATGAAAAATGTTGGATTAAAAACTTTCATGACTCAAGGTAAATATAATAAATGCAATAAATATTTGACAGTTTGCAAAGTAAAAAACCAGCATGATTGACGAAACCCTATACTCAAGAAAGATATTAAAAATTCACAAATTATCATGAAGAAAGAGAAGCATATCTACCTTTTCAGGTTTAAGATTACTTCTTCTTTCTTCAAGAATTCTCCCAGTAGTGGAAAAATTCCGCTCACAGCTTGCACTTAAAGCAGAAATTGCCAATTTTGCTAAAATTGGAAATTCGCTTTGATGAGCCGCCCACCACTCTAACAAATTATCCACCTTAAATGTTTTATCTATTATTTATGTAATTATAATATTCATCATCGGGTATTGACATATTAACAGAATTACCATCGCCCCATTTGTCATAAAACGATTCAGTTTGTTTAACAACAGTCGTAATTTGACTGGTCGATGGTATTTCATTTACTTCCTGAGCCTCTTGTAATTTAATATAATCTTTTATATAGTTTTCCGTCATTTTGCGATCTGTCCCTGACTACATACGTAATTGCTTGAATTTGGGACAGAGAAAAAGAGAAATAAAATGATACTTGTGTAAAACAAATTTTTCAATTAAAAAATGCTTTATATTAAGTAAAATCAATTACAAACTTTAAGAAGTGATAATCCTTTATTTGATTGTTTTGGTAAAATATATTCTAAAAATTTAGATATGAATTATAAAAAAAATATTAATACTTTGAATAAATTTGCAGGAAATTAATAATTAGATCGATCTGTGGGTTGTTAGGTAGTGTTAACCATCACCCAATATTATATTAATCATAACTATAATATAATATAATCTTATAACCATTAACCCATAATGTAAAAATTTTTATAAAAAATATTAAGGCCCGGCCCGGATATATTTAAAAAAAATTTTTTAGGCCCGGCCCGGATATGTTTAAAAAAATTTTTTTAGGCCCGGCCCGCGTATATTTAAAAAATTTAAAATACCACAATATAAAACAATTACAAATTCAATCATTTAAAGGAATGCATCGAATTCCCTCTTCAATAAATTTTATGGTGTGAGAATAAAAATTTGAAAAATTATATGTAAAATAATTGGCTAAAATACTCGTAACAATTGAAATAACTTCATTTCGGTTATTGGGTTTAAGAGAATTTGATCTATATTGATTTTTAATTACTCCGAAAAAATTTTCTATCGGATTTAATTGCGGCGAGGAATTTGATGGGATAGGTGAATAACTTTGGTATCTATTTGTTATTTCAGATAACCCCCCGAGAGAATTAAAAGTTTCATTAGGTGTATCTAGAATTTTATATATAAGGTTAGTAAATAATAGAATATTATATTAACAAACCTGAAACTGGAGATAGATTCAAAATACTAGCGATAGTAAAATTTGACATTTAAAAAAATGGAAATATAGTTTTTATAGAAAAAAAAATTATAAAATATAGAAGTTTAAAATTAAAATTGTCATAAATTTAAGAAAGAATTATTATAGGTTTTAATTTAAGTTAATTACCGGAAGTTTTTAAAAATATAATGTGTTTCTCAAAATTTTCTTTCAAGTTTTTAAAAGTTTTTAAAAAAGGATGTATTTTTCTCAACAAGATTTTACAATAATTACGGAAAGTTAAATTGAAGTGTCGGGGCTTCCGTTATGGGTAGAATGGTTGGTGGCACATCTCGATGATTTTTGGTATGCGTCATTTTAGGAAATTTTAAATTTTATTTAATTTTAAAACCAAAAAAAAATAAGAATTATCTAAAAACCCTAAATTCGAATTTTCTTTCACTTATGTTTATCTAAAAACCCTAAATTCGAATTTCCTTTCACTTATGTTTATTAAGAAATTATCGAATTTCTTATCCTGATTTTCATAAAAGTAACATTAATATATTGTAATAATACTTTAAATTTAAAAAAATTTATAATGCATTTAAAAAAAAATTATTCTAAAAATCTTAGAAAATTTTTATTCTCATTTTCCCACTTAAACTTGAGTCCAAAACATAAAAAAATTATATTCGATATATAACTTTGACGTAAATCTTCATTAAAGTTTAAAAACTCTTATTATAAAAAAAATTTAAAAAAAAATTATATCAAAATGTTTTTACAATAATTATGGAAAGTTATTTAACTATATAAGAATGTTTTTTCACATTATGAAAATGTGTTACAACAAATCATTTTAATACTGTATATATATATTCATTTTTATATTTTGTTTACATGTTTTAAAGATAAATGAATAATAAAAAAAAATTTTTTTTATATAATATACCATTTAATGGTCTTTGTTTTTAAGATATTACCAAATAAAACACCTGCAACAAAAACTACATGAATTATTTACATAAAAAATTTATTTTTTGAAGTGGTGTGGAAGCTCAAGGGGTATGCAGTGCGTTTAATAAGCATATGGTATTCGAATCTAAATGACTTACTTCTTATAAAACTAGGACGAGGTTAAGGTATGGTCAATCAAAAGGTTGGAGATATAAGGTAGGTTTGTATATTAAAAAAATTGTCTGCATTTAAAATTTAATTTTGATTTAAAAACTTTCCAATTAAAAATGAATGCATGCGAGTTCAGATTTGGCATCGTTTATGTATAATCGTTGACAGTATAAATAAAAATTATTGCTAGACAAATATTCATATTATTTATATAACTTATTGAGAGATGTTAATTTATCATTTTTTAACCAGAAGTCCTCAAATAATAAGAAAAAATAATTTTTTAAATCAATTCCGAATAAAGAAAACGCAATTTTAAACAGGCATAAGAAAAACTATACAAAACGAAAAGTATTGGGTTGAAACATTTATATCGTGAATTAATTATTTTAAACCATCTTTCAGCAAATCTAGCTGCTTCGAAGTGCATCAAGTTGTTGGGCGAGCAATGGGAAGATACCAAAGATGTAGAGTCATTGTAATGTTGCAAGGAATGGGAGCTCAGTTTATCACAGATTTTAAGTGATGACATGTTTATAATGAAGCTGGTAGGAGGGTCCAAAATGCGTGTATTGGGATTTTCCGAAATCACAATAAGGGAAGAGGGGTCAAGGTTTTTTAGTCGGACTGACATCGAGTTTATAATACCTTGGTTATAAAAAGATTTTTATTACTATATAACCCTTAACGTTCATGCGCTTAATTTTTTACCGAATTTTTTAAATCCTTGGTAAAGTTGTCAATATTAAATATCGGATCGGAGTCAATATTTAACGTTTTTTTTAAAATCGGATAGGGCTGATATTTTTAAAAATCGACCAGATATATTTTTGTTAAGATTCGTATAAAATAATAATAATTATATTATATTTTTCTTTATAAGGGATCGATTTCACGATTTTGAAAAAAAGGTTAACTCAAGATTTTATCCAAAAGTAAATTACCCAAGATTGGAGATTGTGCTAACAGATTTTCCAAACTAGATTTAGTTGAGTTTTAAAAGTGGTTAACTCTAGTTTTTTATTTACCCTTTTTTTGTTTTGTCTTAAATACATAAAAATTAAATAAAGTTTTTTAGGCCTCTCTTTTGTTTGAGTTAAGCTTATTAAAAGTACAACATATGGATTTTGTTTTCTTTTACTTAGGGGATTTTGGTACTTTTGGAGTCCTTAGTAAGGTGTTCAGCAAATATAAATTAGATATCTAGGTCCCGGAGATCGCCCTGCGTCTAGAGGTATAATTTGAGTTCCGAAAAGTATAGAGGGGTTGGTCTTATCTCCAATTATGTACGTTAAACCCAAAACTCCTTTTCGCAAAAACGTTATTTTTTTTACTTTGCGCCAATTATATTTTAATTTATAATTGGGCATTTACACTGAGACTGATTTTTATGAGGATTAATACATTTTTGATTTATAATTTGATACTATAATTTTGGTTTAATAAATTTTTATACTTATTTATTTTTTTAACCTAATAAAATTTAAAATAAAATTTTACGTGTCATTTGAATATGCAAGCGTTTTAGTTTTCTTAAATAATCTATAATGGCTCATACTCGATCCCATGGACTGACTGTTGAGGTATTTCCACCAATAACTGAAGCATGCAACTTCATTTCCTAATAAAAAATTTTTGTCTTTTACCCATAGTTAAATTTTACAAAATAAAATATTCGATCTTTTTTAATTTATGGTTAAATAAAATTTTCAAATTAAATTGAATATTGGAATAATCGAATAATAATTTTATAATTAGTACGAATACGAATAATGAATTATTCAATTTAAATGAAGATGAATAATGCAATTATTCGATTCTAATCGTATTTTTTTCTGAAATTTTTTTATATCGCATATAAATATATATTGCAAGGTGTTTTTGTAAAACGATATAATATATAAATAATTAACTATGAATGTAAAAAACTAATTATATATATATATATTAAACAATTTTTAGAATAATAATATATAAGAAAATAAAGTAACAAGAAAATTTCGGCAAGATGGAGTATTTTTAAAAAATAGCAGTTTAATTTACAAGAGAATATGAATATATATGTCGTAATTTTTAAAGGGATCATAACTATCCGGTATCATCCCTGGATTTAAAGGGATCCCTTTAAGAATTCAATTTTTAAAGGATAAAGAACTATACGGCATTATCACGTTTGAACCATGATATAGAAGAATCTTATTTTAAAAAGCGTTTTACACGCGTTTCGGTCGAGGCTCAGGTAAAATTTTTCTGGCTATATTGAGTTAGCCGTTTTAAAAAATCGGCTAAAATCCAGCCGTTTAACAACACTAAGTCATACCCATTAAGAATAAGAATGAAGACTTTCAGCCAAAAGATATTAAAATTAGCTATTATTTGATACCCATATCGATATTTTATTTTGATAAAAATATTCCTGACCCCGCAAGACTTAGACCCGCCTCTATAAGCGATTATTATTATTATTACAATTTAAAAAAATTTAATTACCTTTATTTGATATCCATATCAAAAAAAATTATTTTTTACACACCATGCTCCACCCCCCCCCGACCACCCCAGACCAAGTCATACCCATCAAGACCAAAAGTAGATGGTTTAAGACCTGATGGTATGATACTAGCTTGCGCCCTCGGCAAATCACTCATGGGATTACACGTGTGTCTCATCATTCCCTTCAAACATAAATTTCAATTTAATAACACAGGCAGAAATTAAAAAGACAGACAAATAAAAAAAATTTAAAAACTCTAACGGGCATTTTTCGCCTTCAACATTTATATTTTTAAAAAATCTGGGTAAAAAAATATTTTTCACAAATGAACCTAGAGATTTTCTTTTTATTCGACAAAAAATTCTAATAGAAATTTAAAGACACAATTATGGTTCCTTTTTGGGGACTTAATTATAGAAGTTTATTTTTATTAACTAGGTTTTATGTAAAAAGAAATTTAATAAAATAAAGAATAAATTTTTTAAAAAAAAAATAAATTAAAAAAGAATTATTTTTTGCAACAATTCAATGCCATATGACATTTCCTTAAACATTTAAGGTTTTTCTTGAAACACTCGCACCTTTTATTAATGCAACCCATTTTGCAATTGCTAAACAATGTTTTCCCATAGTTTGTGATATTCCGGGAAGCTTCTTTTAGCAGTTTAAATAAAAAATGAATATATTTTATGCACATGAATTAATTTGAGGAGTATATGTGGTTACTATAAAAATAACTTAAATTGCTGTTAATGGTGTTGAAATTCTTCCAGCACAAGTTCCTACCCATATTTTATTTTGTTCATTTTTAATACTTTCCCTTCTAAATTTTTATGACATAAATTAGTTTTAACTGTCCTAATGGAGAGGTAATAACACGTGATCACCTACGATAAAGTTATTTTGTCCAATTATTTGAGAATATGTTTTGACCATGATTATTTAAATATGAAATAAAAGAAAGGACCCTTTTTAAATTAGAAATACTATTCCCAATATTATCGGTAGCACAATTATTTTTCCATGAAACTTTGTGGCCAACATTTTTTAAACAATGACTATTAGTAATATTATCGACAATTTGATAGCGCAAATCTTTGTTAGCAATGTATATAGCGTTCACATAATTTTCCTCAATGGTAAACAATAAAAAATGCTTATCTATGAATATATAAATAAATATTTTTATTTAATATCCCCTCTTTCCCTAATCGATAAAAATATAATCTAAATTTACTTTATTTATATCAAGGAAAATAGCTATCGATATTTAATTTTATTAAAATTATTTAGCTTTTAATGTTTTTTTAAATAAAAAAAGATCGCCCTCCGCCTAATTTTTAGAAGACCTTACTTTTAAAATTTAAATTTGTTAATTTTTATTATTTTATGGCATACTTTGGATTTTTTGAATAGTTTAAATCAATTCGCAGCCCTATACAGAACTAGTAGTGGGTGATTGATATACCTTATTTATTGCCAGACAACGCATCTTTGGATTTCGATAGTATTTACTAGATAATTGAAAATGGTGATATAAACATTGTTTCCACCGATCGATAGCAATGGTAAAAATTACTCAAATATTTGTTCATGAATAAAATAAAGATTTAACTATTATTGATCATATTCCTGGAAATTCTCTGCTCGTTACCGACCCTACAGAAATAGGTAAGCTATAAAAATAATTTCATTAAATTTATTCTACATGAAATCTTAGATATTAGACAATATAAAAATCTAAATAATTATATTAAAAAAGAAAATTTTACCAAAGTTTATATTTCTTAAATAATATTGTTTAGATTTAGCATATATTTAACAAGTTAGTGCAACTCGTCCAATCAAAGAATATACCGACATGGGTAAGATATAAAATAACATTTCCATTAATTATTTGTCCAAATTTATGATATTATTAGCAGCAGAGGTTTATTTACTTGTGAATCAGAAGTTAGATCGTAATGGTAAAAATTACTCACTATATTTTATAAAAAAAAAGCGATTCGATTTAACAATTATTGAGCTTTTCATGCTCTTTCGCCTCAAATTACATAAGGAAATAGGTAAGATATAAAAATGATATTAAATATTGTATTCTAATACATTATACTAGTCCTGTACAGGGCTGTGAAGTGATAAAATTTAAAATATTAATACTTTTTATTTAACAATAAATTCCTTTTAAACTATTCACAAAAATCCAAAGTATGCCATAAAATAATAAAAATTAACAAATTTAAATTTTAAGATTAAGGTTTTCTAAAAATTAGGCTGAGGGCGATCTTTTTTTATTTAAAAAATCATTAAAAGCCAAATTATTTCAAATATAATTAAATATCGATAGCGATTTTCCTTTATATTAAGGAATCCGTCATTTTTTTTATTGTTTACCAATGAACGCTTTATACATTGCTACTAAAATAGCAAAGGTTTCAAATAAGGATCCGCGCTTTCAAATTGTCCATAATATTACTAATAGTCCTTGTTCAAATAATGTTGGCCACAAAGTAACATGGAAAAAAAGTTGTACTACCAATATTATTGGGAATAATATTTCTAATATTTTAAAAAGGGTCCCTTCTTTTATTTAATATTTAAATAATCGTGGGCGTCAAAACATAATTTTATTCTCAAATAGTTGGACAAAATAACTTTATCTTAGGTGATCACGTGTTAATACCTATCCATAGGAGAGATAGAACTAATTTCTGTTCTAAAAATTTAGAAGGGAAAGTGTATAAAATTGAACAAAATAAAATAGGGGTAGGAACGTGGGCTGGGAGAATTTCAACACCATTTATTGCCTCTAATCTATATAAAACTATAAAATTAAATGATTTTGAAGTTCGCAACAACGATATATCAATCATAGGCAATTTAAGTTATTTTTATAGTAACCACATACTCCTCAAATTAATTCATGTAAATATATTAATTTTTATTTAAACTGCTAAAAATATTTAGAGGCTTCCCGGAATGTCACAAACTATGGGAAAACATAGTTATGCAATTGCAAAATGAGTTGCATGAATAAAAAGTGCGAGTGTTTCTTCAAGAACAACATCAAATGTTCAACGAAATATCATATTGCATTGAATAATTGTTGCAATAAATAATTTTTTTTTATTCGGATTTTTATGTTAAAATTTTACAAAAAAATGTCTTTTAACCTTATTCTTTTTCATTCATTATATGCTTTAATTTTATACTATTTACTTTTTTAAACATTCTCTTATCCTTTTTGATAATTTATTTATTATAACAAAATATCTCTAAAAAAATTAAAGTTTCTGGTGCCAGCCAGGCGGCAAAAAAGGAAGAAAAAAAAATATTATTTAATTGTTTTATCGAATCCCCTCGTTGGGATTCCGAATCCAACATGATTTCATATCCCAATACGACATATATATTATTTAAAAAAAGAAAGAATTTATTTTAAAATTTCAAATAATTATTTTATTTTGATTTAGGGGCTTTGTCCAAAGAAACGTATGCATATATTATATAAATACTAATATCTTACTTAATATTATATTAGTAATTGAATTGAGCTTTTATAGCTTAAAATTCAAGTATAATATATTTATAAATAATGACCAAGAATATTAACAATGGGCTGAAGTACGAGTATCAAAATTTGATTTAAATAAAAAAGTCTTAATTACTAATTAGAATGTATAAGATTTAATTTAAGATTAGTAAATGAGATTTATTTTATCTTACTTTTCATTTATCCGAACCTCGAGTTTGAACCCCGGGTTTGTGCTCAGAGCAGGCCTGAGCACATAATTGGGAGGTAAATTTTACGACCAAGTAAAATAACAACACTATCAAACACTCATTCATCAAAGCATCCATTAAAATAATATCTAACATTACCATCTTATATATCATAAACATCTATCTATAATATATATAAAAGCCTTGTAATTTTGAAAAGTGTCTGAGCCCAATCGACAAGAGCGTCGTTTATAAATCTGATGGACTTAGGTTCGAATCCCAGCAAAGATTTTTTTTTCTTAATCTAGCAAAATTAATCATATAAAAGATACGATTCAAAGTTATTCAAACTATTAAATATATTCTTTTATTTTTAAATTTTTAAAATTCTTTTAAAAAATATTCGTCCAATAAAAATCACC